GTACAAAATTCAAATCTTCAGCATTACTATTAGACATTTCCAAATTATTCTATAAAGCTATTTAACAAATTTGTGCTTCTTTTCAGTTATCAGTTTATTGTCTCTCAGGTTTGAATGTACCCTTCAATATGGGCTAGGTGTTGAACAATGGAATTTCTTTAAGTATTTCTCCCTTTAAAGTGAGAACAATGTTTAGCTCTCTCAGAGAAAGGTGCTAGAAGCACATTGCAGGAGGAAGAAACCCTCTGACCAGTTCAGGCCTCTGCTGGGGTCAGCAACACAGGTGTGAGGAAAACCAATGGAGACTGCCCCAGTCGCAGGCCCGAAGCTTGATTTCTCTACAACCTCACAGCCATGGTCTTGTGATAACTTTTCAGTAGACTTTTCACACAGAAACCAGGGTCCCCCCCCCCCCCACAATTTGGAAGAGTTCCTACCCATACCAGCACCTAGATTTCCTTTGCGCATCTAGTCCACTGGTTTCTGATCACCTCTTCCCCAGCTTGCATAAGAGGTGGGCTATTAGTTGCCCAGCAGTTGGGAGACCAGCTCTGACCTAGCCAAATCAGTGAAATTTTTACTCACCAATGAGATGAACCATTCATTTCCCAATGAAACTTAACCTCTGTTAAGATTGTGGTTCCTTGGGTACTTTCTCTTTGCTATAGGGCACCACCTAGAGTTTCCTTATATATTATAGTTACTTTTCCTTTATAGTTCTTTCTTTATACCAAACTACTTAATCTGTTGTATGGTTTCTGTCTCCTGACTGTACACAGACTGCTACATATTTCTACAAACAGTGAATGAAGTGAAGATTTTAATGAAATCTTTAATGATGGTCATGAAGTTTCTCTCTTGTTCCTTGTAATTCTGCACCTTATACATTTTGAGGCTGACATTAGGATTATACAAGTTTAGGAAGATAGTATAATCCTGGAAAACATTTCCTTTAGCAATATAGTCTCACTTAAATTATGTCTGATATGTTCAATATAATTAGTCATTAGGGAAATGTAAATTTAAAATACAATTAGCTGCAACTCCACACTTGTGAGGAAGCTAAAATTAAAATGACAAATAACAAGTTTAGCAAACATGTAGAGGAAGTGAAATTTTCATGGGAATATAGGAACATAAAATAATGTAAGCACTTAAAAAAGGGTCTGTCAGTTTCTTTTAAAAAGTTAAACATACACCTACAACATGATTCAGACATTCCAATTTGTTATTTGCCTAAAAATGGAAAAATAAAATATATATCCATACAAAGACTTATATACAAATAAGCAACCATGTTGGTAATAGGCAAAACTGAGGCACAATAAAAATATCTATCAACAATGAATTAATCAATAAACTGTGGTATTCCCATACAATGAACTACTTCTAACCAATAAAAAGGGAACATAATATTGATACATGTATAAAAATAGATAAATTCAAATAAATATACTGAGTTAAAGTAGGAAAAACAGTAGAACAAGTAGTGGATTGGGGAGGGGTGGCAGAAAACTTTTGGGACCATGGATACATTCATTATTTTGATTGTAGAGGCAGTTTTATGAGCATACGTCAAAACATCAAATTGTGCACTTTAATACATTCAATTTATTGCATATCAATTATACCTTAGTAAAGCCATCTTTAAAAAACATGACTACATGTGACTCAATCATCTCATTCCTAGCTATCTACTCACAAGAAATGAAAACCTAGGTTCACACAAAACCTTATATAGAGATGTCTGTAGCAACTTCATTATTAATTTCCAAACCACCCAAACATTCTTCATCAACAGACGGAATAAACCATAACCCTCAAAACAACATTGATACATTTCACATACATTTTGCTAAAGTGCCAGCAGGAAACCAGTTTCCAAAAAGCTACACACTACAGGATTAGATGACTATCTGAAAAAAAGCAAAACTACAGAGAAAAAAAGAAATCTGTGGTTTCCTGGGGTGTAGGAGGTGGTGAGAAGTTGTCTATATGGGAATAGCAACAGGAAAATTTGGGTGATGGAACTATTCTGTGTGGAACTGTAGTGGTGGACACAGAACTCTATGCATTTGTCAAAATGCATAGAAATACACAAAACTAAAAGTGAATTTAACCCTAAAAGTTTTTTAAAGGTAATCACAAATGTAGAAACAGCTGTACTCTTCTTCAACCTGGCAAAAGTACAAACGGTAATTAAAATAATACTAAGCCTGTAACAGAGAAGGAAGTGTTAGGGCAATTGACAAAATATATTTTTAAAGCTTCATTAGAAACTAAGGTAGCACAAAATAAAACAATGGTTTTATTTACATTTATTTTCTCATTAAATTAGCAGATTAAAATTTTATGCTCGATACAAAATATGAATTATATGAAATAGGTCTTCATTAAATTCATTAGGAATTTTTAGTATTTAAGAAAATATGATATGACATATAAAATACATGAGTATTTTACAATATGATATGCAAGCAACTGCAGCTGACTGAGTGTGTGCTGGAGAGATCAGGCGTCCTTGGCCTGTTTCCCACTCTCACCTGCTGTTGCCTGTCAGCTGCTGTTGCCTAAGCAGGGCCATGGCCTCCACAGTCCTTGAAACCCCACCCTCTGGGTCACTGCCTGTGAGCTGCTGCTGCCACCAGTCATCTCATTTTCCCCACACCCACTATAACAAAGAAGGAGAAATTCTTCAACCCAAATCAGGCTGAGTGGAAGTTCCTCTACATCCTGACCAGTGAAGAACATTTAGGGCAAATCACCAAGTGCCAGAGGGGCCCTGAGGTGGCGTTTTCTTAGAATCGTCTGTTCCCATTCTGAGTCATGGCTTAGTAAATGTTCTGGGAAATGAGACTTTCCATCTCACAGTGATTGTCCATAGAAAAGAAGGCTATAGATGAATGTTAGTGACATGTGTGTTGGTGGCAGCAGCAGAGGCACACTGACCTGTCACCCAGCAGGAGACAGTGCTTCCTGGACCACTAGTGAGAGAGAGGAAGAGAAGTTTGCTCCTGCTCTTCTACCTAGTCTTGTGTGGGTTCCTAGCTGTACTCTTTTTGTTCACAATGTGGGCTATGCTTCAGACGCTGAAAGATAGGGTTCCAAAATACCAGCTTCCTAGTTCAGGACTTAAAATTTCTCCAGAACCAGTGACGGCATTAAAATATGCATTCAGTATGTCTGATTCAGCTTCCTAGAATAGGTATTTTGTAGATTTAATACTTTTCTAAAGCTGTATTAGATGAACAGAAGACTCTCACAATCCATCCTGATGAAGTTCTTTTTGAAAGAAGGGACTAGTTTATAATGCATGTAAATTTCCTGCTACCTTAGTTTAAGCATGCAGTGGTATGGAGCATCCTGATATTTGTGCTTTCAAAGGAAACCCTTGTATTCTTGTAAAAATTAGCAGAGTAATTAGATTAAATCCTCAAGTGGAACCAAGGCTAATGAGTTTAAAAGAAGAACACCAGACAAGTCTGATAACCTCTCACCATGGATTTATAGACTTAAAATATTTAGCACATTGTGGAAAAAAAATATGCATGTGTCATATCTATAGCAGTTGTTCTGTCTAAGTAATCTTTGATCATAATGGCTGATACCAGGAAAGAAGCAACACTACAGTGCAGGATTGATGAATCACGCAGCGTATAAAACCAAGGTGTTTAAAAGCATAGTGAATACATAACATGAATAGGATAGCTCCACAGGATAAATGTTGTGTTGTTTGTTTTTATTTTGTGCCAAATGGACTGGACAGTATATAATAGAGTGAAATCACCTTGAAGGAAGTTGGGGTGGTACCTAACACTGGATGTCTTGGTTCATACTGGCTGTTATAACAAAATGCCACAAACTGAGTGGCTTATAAACAATAGGAATTCAGTTCTAGAGGCTAAGAAGTCCAAGATAAAGAAATTGGTAAATTAAGTGGCCTGTACCGACTTCCTAGATCATAGACAGCAGTTGCTCTAACTTCACGTGTCAAAAAGAAGGAATTCTCTGAGGCCACTAATGACGTTCATGAGAGCTCCATCCAAAAGACCTAATGACTTACCAAAGGTTTTACTTCCTCATACCATTAACTTGGTGGTAAGAATTTCAATACATGAATAGGACATAAAATGTTCAGACTATAGCACTACAGGGGGTGGGGGACATAAAAATTCAGCCCACAGCTCTGGGGCAGCATCATAATGTACTTTTAGATTACACTGTTCATTGTTCTGAAGTAACTGCTTTTGCTTCTTGTTCTATTTTTATGTGGTTTTATTGCCAAGTGTCTAAAGCTTTATATGCTATGTTATGTAACTGTTTTATGGACTTAAAACTAGTTAATTGTCATATTTTGATGTTAACACCATTTTGGTGACAGAATGATAAGAATAAATGGTACCTTGGTAACATCAAGTGATTTTATATAGCTTCATAAAATGTGATCTCTTGCATCTCTCAAGTTTTGTATGTGAGGAGGAAAAAATAAAATAAAAGGAGATTTGAAAAGTGCTATCTTAAATTCTTATAAAATTAATTTTACATGCTTAATTAGTCTATGGATCTTTTTAATACAGAGCGTGAACTTTTTGATGTAAAATGTATGAAGAAAAGAATGTTAATGGAATGTTTTTACTGCTAAAGGTAAATCTCACAAATTACGTAGCATATCTTAACCATAAAAGAAACAGCATTTTTAGTTTAGCAATTGTGAATATGCATGTAAGTTTTTATCAAACGATTTCCTATTTTATCAAAATATTTTAAATTGTGCAATCATTTGTGAAACACTCTATTGATTTTAGTTAGCAAATATAAGCAAATTAACTACAAAACTATAGCAAGTATGACTGAAGAATGCATAATTGTGTATAGGCTTCTTTACAAGTATTTAACAAAGAACATGCATTTATAATTTCAAGCAAACAAATTAACTGTTAAAAACATTGACGGTTAGAAGAAAAAGACTAAGTCTGTGTCTCGAGTTCCCATTTGTCTACTCAATTCAACAAATCTAGTCTTATGAGAGAGAGCTGGGAAGACAGCCTGGAAGTTACATACTGGGTCTTCAGTTTATGAATTGCTGATTTTACCTCTTTGTTTCTCAATGTGTAAATAAGGGGGTTTAATATAGGTGTGAAAACTGTAGAGAATACAGACAAAATGTTATCCACTGGTAAGTTGCTGAAAGGCCAGGCATAGATGAAGATACAGGGCCCAAAGAACAGGGTCACCACAGTAATGTGGGCAGTCAGAGTGCTGCGAGCCTTGGCCATACCTGCTGAGGAATGTCGCCGCACAGTAATCAGAATGACCGTGTAGGAGATCAGCAAAAGAAAAAATGACGTTGCCCCCATAAGACCACTGTCCAAAAGCATCAACACTTCAGGGATATAAGTATCTGTACAGGCAAGTTTGATGACCAAAGTAAGGTCGCAATAATAACTGTCCACTATGTTTGGGCCACAGAAGGGCAAATTTACAGTGAAAGCTAACTGGCTCAGGGAGTGCATAACCCCAATGACCCAAGATCCTACCACTAGGCCTGTACATGTGCACAAGTTCATGATGGTTGCATAATGGAGAGGTTTGCAAATGGCTACATACCTGTCATAGGCCATGGCTACAAGGAGCACCATCTCACCACCAGCAAAGACATGGAGCAAGAATATCTGGGCCATGCAGCCCTCAAAGGAGATAGTCTTGGGTTCATGAAGGAAATCATGGATCATCTTAGGGGTTGCATAAGAGGCAAGAAAAATATCAAAAACGGAAAGGTTACTGAGCATGATGTACATGGGTGTATGCAGGGCAGGTTCCGAAATCACTGTAAAAACAATGAGAAGATTGCCCAGCACAATGGCAATGTACAACAAGTTAAAAAACACAAAGAAGAAATACTGGAGCTCCCAGGAACTGCAGAGTCCCAGCAAAACAAACTCCGGCACCCTAGAATAATTTCCCTTGTCCATGGTCTCAGCCTACAAGAGAAGTACCTACAAAGAGAAACATCAATGGGTTAATATCAAGATCTAGAAAAGTAGACTACAATCCAAAAGTGTTCTTCTCCACATATATTTAAAATGCTCTAGAGTTATCCCACTAGGAAATGTCTTATCTGTAATTTTGACGTATATATATTCTTCTCTCAATTATCCTTATTAATGAAGAATGGCTATGAGGTACAACCATAGTAAGTCAACAACCCCATTTTATAAATTTGTGCGTTAAATCTGAGGCTAAGCAAATAACATATATATACCCACAAAAGCCTCAATTAAGAAGAGATGCTAATATATCCAGATTGTTTGTTCCACCTTCCTTTGCCCTGCTTCTTTTTATATCCACTCAGAATTATCTACAAGCAGCTTCAATTCATAGAGAATCCCCACAAGGCCACATTTACAAGGAAAATACCTATCTTTTCCCCCATATTTTTTACTCTGGTTTTCTCTCCTGTTGCCTCTGTCTTTACTCTATAAGCAACACCTGCAACCTGCAATGATTTTATGGATTAAACCATGAAAACTGCTTAATCCATATTATCTCTGAAGTTATGTGAACTGTTTGAGTTTGAGGTAAATTCCCTTGCAGTTAACATGGTACTGTATGAGAATATGTAAACTGAAATGTACGTATGTCAGTACAGATAATCAGTAGATAAGGTGATAATAGCCATAAAATGAAGATTTGAAAAATGCCAGAAATCCTCATAGAGAATGGCACCATATCCTCTACTGAATGCCATTTTTGTCTAGATGTTGCACTGGGCAGGGTTGAACTGAGGTAAGTATAGAATGATATTAGTATGCTTCTGTAGAGTCTCCTCTATTCAATATTTCAGAAAAAGAACCCACAGAACTAAAAGAAACCTCAAATATTACAGACACGGATCTTTAAGTCATTTTCTATCATACCCAAAGTCAAATTTTATGCTCTAGACTAAAATTGATATAATTATTTTGTGGTAGAGTCAAAGGACTTTGCACAAAACTCTAAGTCCAAGTATCATAAGCCATTGCTCCACCTTTCATTCTCCAGTTAAAGGTCTTATTGCTATTTTCCAAAAAGAAAATCTCAAGCAATTGGATCAAGCAAGTTGTTGACATAAAATTTTTTTTTTAATAAAAGCATACCTCATTCAATTATCTACAGATTTTGAGAAAGTTGAAACAGGTTTTGGCTTCTTTCAGATCAAATGTTCTTGTAGGGGAGCTGCACCAAATGTGCACATACTTTTGAGTTAAGGTGTTATAACTATAATAAATATTGACTTAGGTAAACCTCCTCTTCTCAACACTCTATTTCACCCGTTTCCCATTTTATCATTTACATATTTCATATAGGACTTGGGATTGAACAAGGACCATGGGAGTATGAATGTGTCCCATGATGATTCCTTACCATTAAATATTTGTTGGCTTATTGAATAGGGAAAAAGGCTCAAGTCCAGACAGCCAAACCACTTTCAGCTTTCTTTCAACTCCCAGAGCTCTTTCCCTTGTCTTACTACCAATTACATGCGCTATGTCTCTAATAGATTTAGGAAGAGTTTTACATGGAGAAATTTCTGTAACACTACAGGAAGAATTGAATTGAATTGAATTGAATCTTCAGTGATATTCCACACATCAGTGGGAAGAAACTCAGCAAAGAACAGCTGATGCACTGCAATAGGAATGTTAAATGAATTCCTGTTGTAATTTTAAACGTTAAAAATTATTGATAGGATATCCCATACAAACATATTTGTATCCTTAGCATACACTCCACTTAATTATGGTGTGTTATATGGGAATATTATAACTTTGGTCTGATGTGCTAACACTTTACTGAGGATTTTTTCATATAGGTTTACAATTACAGTAGTTTTAAGTTGTTGGGCAATCCACTTCCTATTTTGGTAGTAAGACAATGATAAGCTCACAAAATTAGTGGGGTTGCTCAGAAAAGTGTTTCTATATCCTAGCATTATCTGTCCTTTGACAGGTTTGGGAAAGGTTGTACATAAACATGAATGTAGCTTGTGAGTTTTATAGGATGATACTTTTGACTTCTTTTAATGTATTCCATGATGATTAGAGCTTTAATTTTCTCCTCCTTAGAAAATTTGACAATGTATGATTTCTGAAAAAATTAAAAATTCATGTCAATGAATGTTGTCTTCTGCTTTTACATTATTTAAGTTGCTTAATTTCCTAAACATATAAATTTAGGAACATTTTTCTAATCTATAATGATTAATTGTACAGTCTCTTTTTAACTTCAATTTTCATCAGTACAGATCTTTTCTCTTTTTTTCTTGTTGTTCTTTTATTTTTGCTTTTCCAAGAGCCATATATTTGGTTTCACAAGGAACTGCACTAGATTATTTGTTTTTTTATTTCAAGAACTTCTGTAATTCTTTAATTGACAAGTAAAAATTCCATATATTTTTATTGTACAACGTGATGTTTTTGATGCTTTAATGTTTGTGTACACTGCATAATGACTAAATCAAGCTATTTATTATGGGCATTACCTCACATACTTTAGCATTTGTTTTTGTGATGAGTACCACTTAAAATCTACTTTCTTAGAAATTTTCAAATATACAACATACTGTCATTACCTGTAGTCACCATGAAGTATAATGGATGTCTTGAATATAGTCCTTCTGTCTAGATAAAATTTTATGTTCTTTGACCAACATCTCCCCAATTGTCTCACCCCCAATCCTCTGGTGACTACCATTTTACTTCATGTTACTCTGAGTTCAAATTTTATAGCTCATATATAAGTGAAATCATGCAATGTTTGTTATTTTGTGCCTACTTTATTTTACTTAACATAATGCCCTCCAGTTTCATCCATGTTTTTTCAAAAGACAATATTTTTTTCTTTTTTAAGGATGAATAGTATTTCATTGTATGTGAAGGGTCTTCAAAAGGTTCATGGAAAATAAATATAAAATGACTAGGCATGTATTTCAAAATTTGCACTAAAATAAATTCAAACTAACTTTTTATAACATATCTGAACAGGATCTAGTTTGAGGCACTAAGAAGGATAAGATATCAATTTGAAAAGAAGTCCTATGAGAGCAACAAGAATTCTGCTAAAACTGAAGCAGGAACACACATCAAATTTATAGTGAAGGTGAAATGGAAGAATGGTGAAATAATTGAAACTTTACTAAAAACTTATAGGTGCAACACCCCAAAGAAATCAAGTATTTACAAATGGATAACTTGTTTTAAGAAGGAATTAGATGGTGTTGAAGATGATGCACACAATGGCAGACCATCCACATCAGTTTGTGAGCAAAAAAATTCATCTTGTTCATGCCCCAGTTGAAGAGGACTGATGAGAACTAACAATAGTCAACACTTGTAGACATCTCAACTAATTCAGCTTACACAATTCCGACTGAAAAATTAAAGTTGAGCAATCGTATTGTCCAATGGGTGTCAAAACCACTGTGCCCAGATCAACTGCAGATGAGAGCAGAGCTTTCAATGGTAATTTTAGACTAGTATATATCAGTAGGTTCTTGCATTACTGTAAAGCAATACCTGAGACTGGGTAGTTAATTTTAAAAAGAGGTTTAATTGGCTCATGGTTCTACAGGCTCTATAAACATAACATAAGCAACTGCTCAGCTTCTAGTAAGAACTTCAGGAAGCTTACAATCATGGCAAAAGGTAAAGGGGAAGCAGGCACATCACATTGTGAGGGCAGAAGCAAGGGGAGCAAGAAGATGCCACACGTGTTTAAACAACCCGTTCTCATGGGAGCCGACTAATTACCAAAGGGATGGTGCTAAAGCCATGCATAAGGGATCTGCCCCCATGATCTAAACACCTCCTACCAAGACCACCTCCAACACTGGGGATTACATTTCAACATGAGATGTGGAGGGAAAAAATATGTAAACCACATCATTCTACCCCTGGCCCTCCAAATCTCATGTCTTTTTCACTTCACAAAATAATCATCTCCTACTAACAGTCCCCCAAAGTCTTAACTCATTCAAACATCAAATCCAAAGTATCAACTGAGACTCATCTCCTTTCACCTATGAACCTCTAAAATCAAAACAAGTTATTTACTCCCAAGCTCTAATAGTAGTACAAGCATTAGATAAACATTGCTATTCTGAAAGACAAAAATTGGCCAAAAGAAAAGGGTAATAGGTCCCATGCAAATCTGAAAACCAGCAGGACAGTCATTAAATATGAAAGCTCCAAAATAATCTCCTTTAACTCTATTTCCCACATCCAGAACATATTGATGCAAAGGGTGGACTTTTAAGGCCTTGAGAAACTCTGCCTATATAGCTTTGCAGGGTGCAGACCCCATGGCTGCTCTCACAAGTTGGAGTTAAGTGCTTGTGGCTTTTCCAGGCACAGTGTGCAAGCTGCAGGTGAATCAACCATTCTGGGGTCTAGAGGGCAATGTCCCCCCCTCCCACAGCTCCACTAGGCAGTGCCCCAGTGGGGACTCTGTGTGGGGACTCCAACCCCACAGTGTCCCTCATCATTTCCCCAGTAGAGGTTCCCTGTGAAGTCTCCTTCCTTGTGGCAAGTATGTGAGGAAGCCTGGGTATAGAGGCTTCCTTATATATTCCATGAAACACAGGTAGAAGCTGCCAAGCCTTTTTCACCCTTGCCACAGTATCCTTCTGTGTACATGCAGGATTGACACCACATGGAAGCCACCAAGGATTATGGCTTGCACCCTATGAAGCAGCAGCCCAAGCTGAACCTGGGGCCCATTTAACTGTGGTTGGAGCTGAAGCAGCCAGAATGTGGGAGCAGTGTCTTGAGGCCGAGCAGAGCAGTGCCATCTTGGGCCTGGCCCCTGAAATCATTCTTTCCTCCTAAGCCTCTGGCCCTATGATAGGAGGGGCTGTCTCCAAGATCTCTGAAATAAATACATTTGGGGCCTTTTTCCCATTGTCTTGAGTATTGGCACTTGGCTGCCTTTCAGTCTTGCTAGTCTCTCTAGCAAGTAATTGCTCCACAGCCTGCTTGGA